AAAAGATTCCCAGTCTTGTTTCTTGGGAAGTAACACCAGCCGTAACAGATAATACAAATCTGACCAATGCTAGAAGATCTAAGCCAACACCCTGATAACTTGAGGTGCTGCTTTTGGCCATTTTTAACTTCAGGGCTACTTCAAATAACCTCACAGTCTCATATATCACTATTCTTTTTTCTTGCCAATTTGGAACCAATTATAATGTATCACCTTTCAGGAAGATCACCAGCTTATTTGGAGCTGTTAAGGTAGCCAAAGCTTAATTGACTGCATAATGATGAAAGAGCCAGGTACTGTCTGGGAAGGAGGCAAGAGAATAGAATGGGATTTACATCCAAGAGGGCTAGAATGTTGCACTGCCGGGGGCAGGTGTGCAGGATGATGATTGAAATGCAAGATGCTCGTCTGGGATCAGGCAGGTAATAAAACTGTCTTGTTTGCCAATGACAGTTAAAGTGAGAGGGGCGAGGGGAGCGGTGGGAGGTCTGAGCAAATGTTTCAGGGGCCGCTTCTGCGCCGTTGCTCCTCCGTTGTGGCCGTGCGTGACTCCTGCAGGCAGGCTGCGCCCCGCTCTGATGTCCCAGCTTTGGGTGAGACCCCCCCGAGCCCAGCCTGCTGCCTCCTGACAAGCCAAAAAGAGATCCCGGTCTCCCCCAGTGCCAGCTCTGAACTTCCCACATCGCTCCTTTCCTTGGAGCTCGGCGGGGTGGCTGAGCCTTTTGACCTGAGCAGAGAAATTCTCGTCATCTCTGAACCCCCAGTCCAGTTCAGCTTCCCGCAGCTGGGTGAGGAGGTGCAGATACGCGTTCTTCATAAGATGAAGAAAATAACATGAAAAGGGTCCTGAACTAGTGGATTTTTTTTTTTTTCCCCCTCTGTTCTGACTTGAGGACAGAACCAGAGAGCAGTGCAAGAAATCCTGTCTGATCCGGTTGGACGTTTCGTTACTGTCGAATAGGAAGGTGTTGATATTTCTTTTGGAGTCTCGTTTAAGTCCTACCTGTTTACGTAGGTAGAATATTTTCTTCCCCGAGGAAACTGTTTTCCCACGAATGTAATTGCTTTTTAATTGGGCTGCAGCTGGTGCTGGATTTGTGCTGAGTTAGAGACTGAATGACATCTTTGGAAAAGCGTTGGTTTTGTGATTTTATTTTTTTTATTATTATTATTTTTTCTTTCAAAATTTAGTCTAGATGACTGGGGTTTTGCCTGAGAGTACCACCAACTGGAGGCTTGCTCCCGACTGAAGACCCACAGGTATTTGGGGCCGGAGAGCTGTGTGACGTGGTCGGTCACGGCCGCCTGGGCGGGAAGATGCCGCGGGGCTGTGCTGCCGGCAGTGCCCCGCACACTCCCTTCGATTTCTGTCGCTTCTGATTTGCAGATCCAAACAGGTTTTGCAGATCCAAACAGGTCCTTCAGACCCGTGTTCCGCACCCCTCCACGTGGGGTGTAGGTTGCCCGAAGTGGGATGACGTTTCGTGACAATTCAACTGTTTTTCTGTAAAACCAGTCCCTTGGATTCCTTCTTCTGCGGCGCCGGCGTGTTCCTTGTGTGCGCGGCGAACTGGGCTGCGTCGGCGGCAGGGAGCTCTCTAGTGAGACGGGATTTAACTTCTGCTCACTAATTCCAGAGCCCCGATTCCAGTAGAAAAATCTACTTGATTGATGTGTGTTTCATTGAGCTACTTAGGATATTGCAACTTGTTCTTGTCTTTTCAACTGTGCATATTTGAACAGGGACAGTGGTAATGATGAATCATTATTATACTATAAATAAAACATTATCCAGATTATGCTGGTCAACAGAGCATAAAACAAATAGCAAATTCTAATGTCCTTGAATTACAATTTGAAAAAGGAAAAAAAAAAAAAAAAAAAAGGCAGCACAGGATGCCAATTTGCGTTGAATGCCTTTGCCTAGTTTGCTATGAGAGTTTTTCCAGTCACATCAGGATTATTCAGGGGTTTGCTCTTCTAACACTACCTAATAAATTCTCCCTAAAAAGAAAATGTAGCAACCCCAGGGAGCTCACAGCAAACAGCGCTCAGGTTTTTGCTTTTCCCCGGCCTGCTGGCCGCTGCGTGGCCTGGGCTTGGGAATTGGCCCGCGGGCGGCGAGCCCCGGGTCCCGGCGCAATATCGCCGGCGCTGCGATGACGGAGAGGCCGAGGTGCTCGTGGCAGGATCCAACCACTGGCTGGGGTTTCAAGGAGATGAAAAGGCTGAGTGTCCAAAGGGTGGAATTCTTGAGGGGAAAAGAAAAAGAAAAACCAAGCTAAGTTACTTCCCTGTTCGAGTTGGAATGATTAAAAAAGAAAATACTGAATGCGCGTGGTTCCCGTGACACTGTATGGAGTGGTCTGAAAGAAAAAAAAGCTGATGCTTACGTGTGTATCATGAATTAGATATTTATTGGGATGGTTTTTTTATATGTATCTCCCAAGGATGAGGAGACCAATAGGAAGTGTATTTAGTAAGGAGTTTCAATATGTATTTGCATTGATATAAATGCATGCAAAATTTCAACTTTTGAGATTTAGATTACAGTAAAATATGATATTAAAAACTTGCTGCAGTCATTATTGCTGACTTGGGACAGTCAGAGAGTGATATTCAGCCTTCACAATTTTTAAAATTCTTTGAATAAGATATGAGAAGAACAAACATGGAAATCTGAAACTTGTCTAAAATAGTCAAGTGTTATAGAGGAAAACTTTTTAAAATATGGCCTGTTTCTGTGGTGAAATTAAGTTTTGTTCTGTTTGCATGGGCGGTGTGAAATTTAACCTAATGAAGTCTGTCACTTCCTTCGGTTCATTGGATTGTATTTTGCTTACCTTGCTAGGTGTGAATAATTCCTTCTTAATCTGATTTTGACTGGAGTAGGATTGTAAGAGCTTCTTTGCAGTGGCTTTCTCAAAATTGATCTGAAAAACAACAACAACAAAAAAAAAAAAACAACAAAAAAACATAATGCTTTTAAGCATAATGATTTAAAAAAAAAAATCATTGTGCTTGGAAGAGGCATGGTGGTGAGCTCTCTGGGTGTTGGCACCAAGGCTCCCTCCCTCTCCTGCTGCTCCAGCTGCCAGGCTGCCGCCTCGGGCCGGGCCTTGGCGGGAGGGCACGGGGGCTTCTCCCATCGCCCCAGCGTCAAAACATCTGGGAAAACTGGCCAGATGCTGCTGCTGAGGGTGCGCTTCACCCTGGGAAAACATCACAGCAACCCCCGAGTCTGCCACGGCAGCCTCGCCGGGGCGCGCCGCGGAGGCTGGGCCGCGGGGTCCCACGCTGCAGCTGGCAGGACGGACAGACGGACGCAGTCTGGGTTCAGCCTCCTCCCGGTGCAGCTCGGGTGGCACCAGCCTGGGCCTTGCGTGAGGAGCTCGAGGGGTTATTTGAAGTCAAAAGCTGACGGTTGGGTGCATGCCTTCTCGGTGTTCAGGAACCTCAGGTGCTAAACCTATTTTCAAATACTCGTCTCTTGATTCACAAGAGCCTTCCCGTGCGAATCCCCACAGGGCCCAGGCGCTCCCGGTATCTCCAGAGCGACCGTTTGTTTGCTCAGGGCCCTGGTTTGTCTTCCTGAGGTCTGGAACCCCCCCCGGGCCACGGCCGTGTGGCAGCGAGAGGGTGTCTGCGCGGGGGGAGGCTCCAGCTCTCACTTTTACATGAGAAACTCCGAGCAATCGGTGCCCCAGCGCCGTCCTGCTTGGGAGGAGCTGGCGTGTGTTTTGTAACTTAGCCTAACCCTTTTGCTTCTAACGTACCTTGCACAATTATTACAGTTCCTGAATGTCTTCGTCAAAACACGTACTTCCATTTCTCAGATACCATGAAATGCTCTTGAACCTGTTCTGCCTCAGCTCGTAGCGTAGTTCACTGCAGCCCATACTTAAATTGATCTCCTAGAAAAACAAATTCCAGCTGGGGAAAAATGTTTAGTCATGTGTTGCAGTGTCTTAGTTTTAGTTTGTGTCTTTATATATACAACATTTAAAAAAAAAATCACACACAAAAAAAAAAAAAAAAAAAAACAAAAAACACAAAACCCCCAAACACATGCCACAAGCAAGTGCCAGATTTAGCAAACTCTCTTTATTTACATACAAATACATGTACACGTATATTTTGTATATGTACACATATTTAAGTGTATATACATACATGATTTCCACATACTCTACAATAAATAGCATGTAGGGTTTTCTTTTAATTGCCTACAGTGCTGAGTAAAAATACATGGCAATAAAATCATGGCTTACAGCTAAGTTACAAAAGCATCAACCACCGAACTCATAGCAATAAATCCAAGCTTATATACAGCCAGAACAAGGACACGCTATACAGAATACAAAGTAGACCATCTTGTAGGAATCAACAGTAATAGGCAAACTAAAAAACATCATTTAGACCAGGAGAGACTCTGTATAAAATAAGATGAAGGAAAACATTTAGATTATCGATTAAACTAAACAACACATTTAAATTTGTCACCTAAAGAGAAAAACAAATGAGCCCGTTACTTGTAGTATATCTTTAACAGAATAATTTTTCTGTATGAGACTTTACCAAGGAAATCAGAATTAATGTCACGAGTGAGTCTTTCTGAGCTGTCAGTTATTTGTCTGGGTCCACACCACTTGAACAGAGCATTTCCATCGCGCTTTATTTAAGCTCTGTGTAACTTCGTGGACTCCGCAGGTGGGCTTGATCGGAAGCCAGAAAAAGCACGTCCTCAGCCAGCTTCTCCCCCGGGCCCCGCCACATCCAACTGTCAGGAGGAACTAAGGCAGCAAACCGGCAGCAGCAGCACCAAGGCCCGGGGGCGGGGGCGGGGGCCGTCCCTGGAGGCAGAGCCCCAGCCCGGCCCTCCGGTCCCCCAGTCAACTGCGGCGGAGCAACGCTCTCCTCTGCCGGGGGAAATCTGGTGGAATGGTTTTGTATCAACACTCGTTTGAGATCTGCTTTATGAGGTGAAGGTGCATAGATTTTTGTTGTTGTTCTGTTTGTCATTGCTTATATTTCGACTTAAGGTATGCACTGCACCACTAAGGAAGACGAGCGGGGGCCGTGAAGCAGGAAGCTCGTTCAGGTATCGTCCTCGTGCTGTGATGCTGCTTCTTTGCTGCAATACGGTGCTAAGAGGGCTAGAGAGCAAAATAATCTCTTCCTTTAGGTGAAAGCCAGCCCCTGTCACCATTTTCAGACTTAAACAGAGATAATCTTTTTCCAAGGCGTGGATATTCTCTATCGCTGTAAAACTAGTACTGGTGTATGTGTAAATATTTGAGAAGAATCAAAACCAACGGTGGCCACGGAAGGAACAAATGTACACCAAACCTGCACACCTGGTGGGTCTAATAAACTAAAGCTCATCAGTGTCTAATTACATCATTGCATACCCACAGGTAAGAAGTCTGAAGGAAGAACTCTTCAATGAGTGAGTACAGCTACTGCAACTCAATAGAAATGTAGATTCCTTTTTTTTTTTTTTTTGTCCTAGAAATAACACTTTCTCTTAGTATTTGGACTTGATGCCTTGAGCCCAGTTTGTGTAACATTCTTTCCGAAATTAGTGGGAGAGTTGTTTACTTCGATTTTGTATATAAGCAGCTGGGAGTCTGCCTCATCATTTGTTCTTTATACTGTCATCTAAAGTTCCCAATGAGAAATAGGACCGTGCTAAGTGCTGTTCCAATTCAAGTAAAAGACAATCTCTCTGCCATTGAGGCTAGTTTAAAAAACTGATTTTCAAGATCGTTGTTCATTACAGACATAATTTAGTTTGATTTTTGTCAAGGGTCTGCCAGGTAGTTCCCTCATGAGTGGGGAGAGAGCTAAAATGCAGTGGTCTCAAATGAAAATGATCGTTACGTAAACAGTTTGATTATTTACGATACAGCACAAACACAGCTACAGTTCTTAAAGACTTTTTAACCTGATAGGAAAACATATTCTTCTCCAAAAGGTTAATGGAAATGCTTATTTTTATGACTGATGCTGTATCTCTACAGTTACCCACGATTGTATCAGCCGGAGGACAAGTAGGGAGTCTCGCTGTGGTAGTTGTAATCAGGACAGACCTTCTGCACCAGTTTGTAATCTACGCTGTAGAAAGCAATGTAAATGCAGATAACTTTAAATGGTTTGGAGCACAACCAGGACACATGGCTTTGGGTCTGCTCTTGATAGCAGATCTTCGAGGGGTCGAAATTGCACAAGGCAGTTTTTTTAGCGCGGTCTGTTTTCTCGTACTCAATTCGGCAGTTGAAGGACTTGGACTCCTTGGTCTCCAGTGTTGACTGTGGAGATGATTCAAACTCAACCACCTTGGACGGTGGCACCAGGCTTACAGAAACGTTTCCCAGACCTGTGGAGTTATGTCGGAAATAAACGCTGAAGGTCCCGTTGCCGTGATCGACGATTTTCCCTGTGATCAGGAGGTTCAGCTTAACAGTTTTGATGTTAGAGTGGAAGTCGCCCCATCCAAACATTTTCTTGAATTTCCCAGTTTTTACTATAGGTCTGCGTTTAGTTCGTGCGAGAGATTCCTGAACCTCCGTGATGTTGGACAACCAATCCCAAAAGTTTTCTATGCTGTCCGAGTAGGACACCTGGCCGTGTTTCAGTACTGGAGATGGCTTAACAAACAGGCGTAAAGGATTGATGATCCTGGAATGGACCACGTTGTCAACCAGTGTCTCTGCAGCATCCTTGTCTTCCCAGTCCAGCACGTCGGTGGCTTGTACGACTTGATTAGCATCACAAAATACCTGTTTCAAAACAGAAAGGAAGGATTGTAAATATGAAGTGTGAAAATAAAACTGTCAGGCTACAAAAAGAGCCATTAATATTTATTTTTTTTACACCAAATAGGGCATGAACCAGTCCAGTCACATGGACCACTATAATAAGTAATTTCTGCTGCCCCATGAAAGCTCAAGGGTTTTACTCCAAACAGCTTACAGAAGATGCAAAAAGCTCAACAGGAGCCATCCACTGGGACATGGATAAATCTCCGGACAGGCTGAGCGCTGTCATTTGTGAGAGCAGGCAGTCGCCCTTTGCTCACAGTTTTGTTAGATAAAAGTATGCGTAAGGATGCTGGAAAACCTGAACAGCAAAGCAGCACCTCTGCTAAACGACGGAGTGAAATAGAAACAGAATTTTCCATTCTTCTTTGGTTTTCTCCCCACTTAACCTCTCAACTAGTTTAGGCTTAAAATTCTGTCTTATTCAGCTGCTTCTGGAATTGTGTATTCAAATGTTATTATACATTTGTCTTTTCTGGTTTTGCCTTTTCCATTTTTTCCAAACTTAGCTTCCCATTTGTGCTCTTAGTTTGAGGTGGATCACGGAAATAACCATGTTTTCAGATGTGTTGGTTTCTGTTGCTAAGCTGCCTGTTATTTAGCAAGGCCTAACCTGCAAGAAGTGCTGAGCAATCCCAGCCATGCAACACATCTCGTAATTTTTCAGAAGCGTGACTAGGCTCAGCAAGTCTAATACAAACTTGTTTGCAGTCAGAAAGCAAATAACGACTTCTGGTAGCGACAGAATGGTGTTAGATTTCACAGTCAAACATGCAGGTGTCAGTAAATAGCAGATTTCTAATTTAATGTAGAGACACGTTGCTCGTGTAGGCTCATCCTGTACACCCTGAGAGAAGTCCTGTTGCAAAGGCAGAACTCAAGCATGTCCTCAGGAGGTCAGAAGCAGGATCCCTGTTTCAACAGGCTAGAAATGACCATCTAACTTTTTAGATTCTTTAAAGCTTGAACGTAAGTTTTGAAGAATGTGTTTTCAGGGGTTGTTCTCTTCAGGACTGTCTTATACCATCATCTTAATGTACAAAGAAAAACTTTCACCTGCAATTATTCTTACAGAAGGTGTGAACAGAAAGAAAAGACGCTTAAATAGAAAGAAGAACAGCGTTGTACTGCCCTCGTCCCCGGTGAAAAGCTGGTGCCTCCTCTTCCTCCCGGCAATGTGCCGCTCTCACTTCATCATTGATCGTGCCACGCCAGGCTCAGGATGCTGGGGTCCCAGGACTGCTGCTGCACGGGATGGGGTTTTTGCTATCCAGTAGGCAACCACAGCATGATGACGGGGTGGAAGCTTGTCTAAAACAGTCAAAACCCCGAGCGCACGCCGTCCTCCCCCGTGGCTGGCTGGTGCTGAGTGCGTGGGGTAGGATTTTGTGCCGCCTGTCTCACTAAGGGAACTGCACTGCTGGGCTTGCTCGTCCCTCTGCTACTCATCCCAAAGAGGTCTTCTCCCCCTTTAGTTCCTCACAGTACTCAGTTTCTATAATATTCAATTGTTATTTCTATAATCTTCAATTTTTCATGTCATCATCTGGCAAGGATCAGAAACTCCAAAGCCCTTAATCTTCACTGGGACCTATTCTCTAGCAATAGGCTCTAAAATTGAGCCCAAACCCACTCACCACGTGTTGTTCCTGCTCATCCCTAATGCAGCAATTAAGCTGGTACGCTGAAAGGCAGCCATCACGGCGACAGTCACAACTGAAATGTTGAAAGGCGGCCATCACTACTGCTAAATAAATCTATGGCTGGATCGGGATGTAGTGATCAGGTGTGTCTCTGCAGAAATACATTATTTTCTTTGTCAGATTAGAAAAAGGGGGGGAAAGCAAAAACAAAAAAAAAAAAAAGACAACAATGATCACTCCCAGTCTGAGACCTTGTATGTCAACTTTCTGCCTCTCTGCTACGTTTTTTTATGGCTGAGCTATGAGCCCAGGAAAATAGAGGATTCTAATGGAAACAGTGACAGATGCTTATCTGTACCAGCACAAATAGCGCTGTCATAACGATGCTGGGGGAAGCGTCGTTTCCGCTGTGATGGAAGGCTCCTGGTGAAGCAGTGTCATGTTTATGCATGGTTCTTTGGCCATTTTTAAGCCTGCTCACAACCTCAAAATCAGCCGGGTGATGCTGGGAACAGCTGGGCAACCCCACTGCCAGGGAAACAACTCCCCTGCTGCGGAGAAGCGACTCTCCAGACGAAACGAGAACCGATGCACACGTTCACCCATCTTCCACCCCAAAACTGACCCGAGGCCTTTAGAAGCACAAAAAAGGGTTTTCTGCTGCATTTCTAGATTCCAGCTGGGACCACAGGCCTGGCAGTGCTGAAATTAGGAAACTTTTTTTTTCTCTCTGTTTTCACGGCTCAGTGATCTGCTACTTAAAATGCTAACGACCGCTCAAAACTGTGGGCACCTATAGTTGGTATTGCTGTTAGCAACTGAGCCGGAGGGAACCGCGGTTAGAAATTTTGAGGAGAAATACATAGAAACGAAGCTGCTTGGTCCACAGGAGGTTCTGACTTTGCTTGTGTCCGCACCCAGCTCTGACTGTCCTCTGGCAAGGGCATGGGAACACGCACGATTGTCCTTCTGGGCTGCTTTTCTTTTTGCAATGTTTATTGAAATCCGTGCAATGGCTCTTTGGCGTTTCTTCCCTCTCCTTTTATGAAGAGATGGAGAGGGCATTGAGTCATGTGTTACTGCTAATACTCAATGTATGTCTCTTCAGGGGGCTCTCACTCCAAATGAGATAGCAGAGCATTGCTTTCTGAACTGCTTTTTTCAGAAGGCTCTGACATAAAAAGAAGAAATATATAGGTATGTGGTTTGGAATGGCTTAAGGGCAGGAATCATTAATGCATGCTAAAACCAGGTGGGTTTGTCACATCGCTAAGGTATTAGGGCACAATTACTTCAAAACTACGATGGTGGAATTGCAGAGTTGCACCATGCTAAACTACTACTACTACTACTTTTAATTATCTGTGTGTTGCACCAAAAGAGGTGTACTCATGAGATAATGAAACATGTCCCTGGGGCTACAGTGACATGGACAATTTAATGTGGCAACGAAACAGCTTTCATAATAGGGGAACGCAAAACCATTAATATACTGACCTATAAGGATGTAATGTTCCTGTTCAAGGTCTAGATAGCGATCCCTAGCCACTGTTGAAAGTTGTACCTTACCCTTAACCTGAGTAATTTTTTCTTCCTCCTCTTTTAAATAGTTTGCAGACTGTAGAACCCTCCAATCTTGCTCAGCCTTAATTCTCGACTCTGCTTCATCCTACTGCTGTCTTGTTTCACTGATTTCATTACAGGAATGAGATTCAGAGGCTGACAGGCTCCGTCGGTTGCAGGGAAGGGACTTTGCAGGCTCTGGGTAGTACATTTATTGTGTTTTGCAAATATTCAGTTAAAAGGTGTCTAACAAAGAACCGCCCGGTTCTGCTCAGTGCCCAGCGCAGGAGCAGGAATGAGCGTGCATTGTTCAGAATTGTGATTAATATTTGTGCTTTTTTAATGTAAAACCTTTTTTGTGCCTATGCAGATGTTTTTTCTATTTTGAATAAAGCTTTCTGCAATATAAAAGAGCTGAACTCTAGTGCTTTATTTACCTCTCTACACCGCAAAGGCCCTTTGCTCGATGGCAGCTTTTTGCCATTAGCAAGGATGGGCCGATGCTCTTTGTTCAGCTGTTTATTCACGTTGGTTAGCAATTTCCGGGAAATAAAAAAATCGGTATTAAAAGAATGCAGCACATGCGGGAAAAAATTACTTCCTCAGCATCTTCCCATTTCACTGTAATGCTTCTCTATACTGGAAAATATTGCTAGTAGGGTATTTGAAAAATACTAGCTTTGGGAAGCTAATGTATACATTTAAATAGATGGCTATTGCTGTAGTTCTCCTCTGCTGCACCTGCATTTTCCCATTCCCTCCAAACCATCAATTTCCAAACAGAAGAAATCACCTAATCTTTTTCCACATTACAGAGTCTGTAAAATGTCACCCGGTTACCCTAAAATTTCCATTAGACTGTAGATATTTTCCAATAAGAAACATAACCTCGGACCCACCGAGATGTACAGATTCTACAACGTGCCTTGCTGGTTTCTTTTGCTACGTTAACCATAAGAACAGCGCAAGCCAAAATACGATGCGGTTTATATTTATGGAGTTTTAAACTTCAAACCATTGGCTCTTCCTGTGCACTTCCTTGAAAGATGGTGATTGCTCTTCAAAACCTTTCTCTTCTATGAGTGATCCTGACCGTGGTAGAGCGGCATAGCGTTAAATAACGTTCCCTGTGAACTGTTTTTGAGAAATGAGCCTGCCTTGATGAGACACTGGCATCACTAAATGTGGTTTTTGCTCTATTTGCCCAAATAAATTTGGGTTCATCTGGAACTTGTTCCATGCCTTTCTCTGCGGGCAAGGCACTAAATAAAAGCAGGTGTAGCCATGCAAGAGTTAATTGTTTTGGTGCTTTGGGAATTTTCTCCAGGTTTTTCATCAATCACCAGCAATCATTTCTATAGCTTCACCCCTGCCAGGAATCATTTAAAAACTCTCGGCAATTAGTTGAAATAAATAGGTCTGTTGGGATAAACAGCTCTGAAGCACCATTCAGCTGCTCACTCACTGGTGCTGCTGTGAGCTTTTTATCCCACTGATAGAGAGGAAGGGGTGGTAGGAGGGAGGTGGTACTCGGTAACCTCCTCCTGCCCCCAGTTTCACCGGCGAAAAATTCATACTGAGGGAGGCTTCCAGTGCTTTCCTCACTTTCTGCTACTTCCATCCCTGAGGCTGTATGTATCTCAGGGGTGTATATTCATGTCAGTGCTGCAGCAGCACAGGACACTTCTCTGGCTTCCTCCTGCTCATTTCAGTGCCTTACAAGCCGTGTGCTGCAAGGATAACGCCGCATCATTG